CTTCTCACCAACCAACCATCCTCTCTTCAGGTTCTAGTTAATCTTTGGCCTCTGGGATTTGGGCTCTCAACCACTCCTCTCTCATAGACACACAGCATGGCTTCCTACGTCCCTATAACTTTTCTGGCACTGTTGTTCATGTTCGCATCTCCCGTGGAGGCGATTGCCGCTAATGATTTTGATTTCTACTATCTTGTGCTCATGATGCTCTGCTCTCTCTCTCTCTCACTCACTCTGTCATTACATCTACAGATGATAAAATTAGTAGTATCTGTGGGCATTGTTTACGAGTTTATTTCTTCTTTCATATGGTATTGTGACTGGTTTTATCCTTGGCTTGATATCTAACATGAGTGTAGCATGGTAATTATTTGCAGTGACCCGGTTCTTACTGCAAGCAAACCAGTTCAGGGTGTTGCCTTCCCAAGAATGGCCAATCTGAACTCGACTTCTTTGTCAAAGGCCTCCAGCCTTACTCTAATGACGGCAAGGCTTTTACACAGTGCAATATGAGCCCCTTCTATCTTGATGAGGTTCGTTGATTTACACTTTACACATCAAATTAATGCTTTTCGAGTTCAAACTAAGTTTATATATATATGATCTCATGACTGGATCATCAATGGAACTAATTAGCAGAGCTGATCGTTGTATCCATTATTAGCATTATCTTCAAGGAATTTCTAACTAGATTGTGCACAGTTTAAGTTCTCACCATGATTACATTCTCTTATTCATCCCATGCAGCTCTCGGACTTGAAGGAGGACTTGTATAGCTACTGGCCCAGCATCAAATGCCCGAGCAGAGAGAGTCGCCAACTGTGGAAAAATACATGTAAGGAGAAAATAGGTTCATTTTTTCAGTAAGGAAAAAATGGGCTTGCCCGGCCATTTAGCTAGCTAGGCTTCACATTGGTGGTAAATAGGTTCATTTGTTAAATGGGTGGGTTGTAGCTCAACCCATAGTCCCATACCCACCCACCTGCCACCTTCTCATTAAGGAGAAAATATAAGATCTTGGTGCAACAATGACCATTAAACTATTCTACAAGAATTTAGAAATATGGTTTGCTTATGGCTACTTCATGCCAGTCTTTTTTATATTAATATTAGTATTATGTTAAATTTAATTTAGTGGACAACTTCACATATGGGATAAAATGGTCAAAAGAGGAGTATTGGCAAGTCATAAAAAAGGGTAGATTAGGAGATTATACTCACTCTTTACTTTGGAGTTATCACACTATAGTACTCAAACTTCAAAACGTGTCACTGTAGTAATTAAGTTCTCGAAAGTTGCTAATTTAGTTCAAAAATTCTTAATTGGTGTTAAATGACATGCAAAAAGACATAAATACCCTTTATCTTTTGAATAGGTGAGATAAACATAATTTTGAAATCACCAAAGTAGTCATGCTTAAATCCATTTTTCACTGTGATTCAGCATTACTGTTCACTTTATGCCATAACCTTTCTACAGAAGGACTAGTGTTTTCTGTTGGAGAAGTTACATGTGAAAACATCGCAAAAGAAACAACACCTTTGCCAGAGAAGAGGGATTTATACCCCCGTTGTTGTAATCCTTTTTTCCAGTTATTCAATAATCCATAATAAAAAGGGATTTAGACCACCATTGTTGCTGGAAAAGATGAGTAATTCTCGTCGTTGACGGGGATTACAATCAAAGTAAATAGTCTTAGAAATATTAAAAAGGGCAATTTTGGTATAAGCTGCACATGTCGTCACGTGATACAGATAACTGATGAATTACTAACATCGGATACTAAATTGGCAGTTTTTAGAAATTCAAGTATTTTGATGTTCGGGTACTAAATTGAGGCTAACTCCAAATTACAAAGTATTAATCTGAAATTTTCCCTTGTAAAAATTAGGGCTGTATATTTATCCAAAGCATTACTATTTGCTACCTAAATTGTTTTAAGTTTTAACCAACTTTTTCTTCTCTATCCCGATTATAATTTGTAAAATGAGAAAATTTTCATGTATATATGAGGAGTTGCTTTTTTTTTAGCAATGGAAAAGACTTCTTACCTAACATGTAAATCCCTGTTTAAAATGAAAAAATAAAATAAAAAAAAAGAAAACAAGACAATAAAAATATAAAATGTAGACTTGGAAGGACATCAAAGATCTGAAATGTAAACCATAAAAGCCTACCACCAATGAAACGGGTCCTTCCACAAATGAAAACCGTGAAGACTAGCATGGAAATTAAGGTACATTCACATGAGAAGGAATAATATAGGAATAGTGGTTTAACATTGGCCACCTTTTAGAACTGCAGACCCTCTGTGGTCTGGCCAATAGGTTGTCTCACATGCATTTTGTCCTATTTCCTATCAGCCTCTGCTGACTGACTAACCTGAAAAAAAGGGTTTGTTCCGCCTTTTAATCAGATTAAAGATTAAAGCCATGGTTTTATATTCTTAAATCTTAACTAAATTTAACCTAAATGTAAGTCCCTTGTTGTTTGGATGTTTACTTCAAAGAGAAAAAAAAGGCAAAAAAAAAAAAAAGAGTGGTTGGGGCACACCCATTTTTTATAGGGAAATTTAGAGTTAAGTTCACCTCAAGGGTTTTTATTAGTTTTTTGAGTTTTATTTGCCAACACCTCCACCTATGATTCATTATTCCCTTAAATGTTGATTCGTTCTCCCACCTGTTCCTTTCCATGTTATGGACACACTGCTTGACAGCGCACTGCGGCGCAATCATAGGCAGCAGCACGCACAGTGGCCACACAGTAGCCTGGCAGCGCGCAGCACGCACCGCCCGACAGCGCGCAGCACTAGGTAGCAGCACGCACCTCACGACAGCAGCACTGTGAGACGCACGCACCGCCCAGCAGCAGCACTGTGAGACGCACGCACCGCCCAGCAGCAGCAGTAGGGCGGGGCCCACATGACAGCTCATCAGGGTGGGTCCACACTTATCTTACCACATCATCTCTGCTCACCAACTCGCCGCCAGTTTCACCATTCCTTATCCCTTATCTTATCTTATCTTCTTAAGTAAGAGTTGTGTTACCATTAGGAGTAGGTAATTAGGAGTTTGAGTTTGAGTTGGATTACCCTAGCCTAGCCGAATCCAACAAGGAATTTCCTTCTGTAATCTCTTATTTAAGGAGCTACGAGTTGAAGTAAATACATTTAGTTTTCCAGTCAAGAGAAGAGTAAGGAGAGTTCGGGTGGTCTCTTGGACAAATCACCCATTCGGAGAGTTCGAGTAGTCTCTTAGACAAATCACCCATTCGGTTTTCCACAATAGGTTCTGCACGTAAGGGAAGGCGCAAGGGAAAGCAGGGCTTTCTCCCCGTGGACCGACCCGTGACGAGATCCTACGCTCGGGACCATAACATTCCAACTATACAAATTGTACTAAAATTTATGGGATAGACTTAACAAAAAAATCTTCTCAAGTTTAGGGGGTGGATCCAACAATAAAACCCCCCTTTTTTATAAAAGGTACACATCCTTTGGTGTTGTCAATGAGTCGGGTTTGGTTTGAGATATCCTATACCAATTCCATCCCAGTAGGCTTTTATTTATTTATTTAATTTATTTATGAAAAACTAGGGCTGAACCAATGGGTTGGGTCTATCCTGATGGAACTAAATTGATTGAACATAATTATAACAGTTTTGGTTCCATGATTTGTCTTGATTAATTATTGGATTGATTCTCATTCTTATTTGTCCAAAATTCATTCAGGTTTGGAACCAAACATTTTATGAAATATGTAATTTTTTTTATCTTTCTTGTACCTTTTTTTTTATCATGTTTCATGTTTGAAATAGTAAATTTAATAAATAATAAATAAGATAATATTAATTAAAAATGTTTAATGTATTAACATAAAAATAAATTAGTATTATTTTGATTATTGTTTTCAATATAATGAGATCTATGATTTGATCCCAAATAAATAATCGGTTCAAGACTGATTCTATGTGATTTACGTGGTCTACGTGGTTATTTATTATTTATAATAATATAATTATAGTTATTTTATTTTAAAAAATATGACCTAATTTATTATTGTATCTCTAAATGACATTTTTTCGTTGGGGATTCATGATTCCCTTAAATGTTGATTCATTCTCCCACTTGTCGCTTTCGAATTATACAAATTTGGGAGAATGACCAATCAGCCCAAATCAGAATTTTATAGCCCCAAAGTACAGAGGGAATGCATCATGACCCTGAATTGATGACAAATTCATGGACAAGAAACACATAAATGGGATTGGTTTGATAAATTTGCATTTTAATATCAATTTGGGTCGAAATCAAGGTCCATTGCTTATAGTTGGTCTTGAGTTGGCTTTAACCTAACCCAATCCATATTTTACAAGCTTACACCCAAAAAAATAGGAACACAGGAATCGTTCAAAAGAAAAAACAAAACATCACATCAACTGATTTTTTATATTCATATTTTGTTGGGTATCTGTCTATGATATAAGGGAGGGGAATCGTTACAAACATTCACTATTGTTTGGGGAGATTTAAGAATGATATTATTATCAGAGAGAATAATGATAGATATTATTATTAAAAAAAATAAAATAAAATTTAACAAGATTTTTTATATTTTTAATAATTTAATTTAAAAATAAATAATCGTATTAAATGAAAATAGAAAAAATTCATTACTGTAGTGAGAGTATATGCATTTGAAAAAAAAAAAAGCACCAGATGGTAGGATCTGGCATGGATTGACAGTTGACAACAAGGATGGAGGGTCGGCTTTCTGGATTTATATGACTGACACAGTGACACCATGGACCAATCCCACGAGGTTTAAACACCATCCCACGAGCTTCATCTTGTGAGGAAAGAACAAAGTGCCACAGTAGATGAGACCACAAACAAACGTGCTCTCAGAGCCTCCCCTCAGTACCCAGAAGTCATATCAAGCCAACCAGTGGACTGGACGATCATCCATCACTCTTTGCTTTCTGTTTTACTATATTAAGGCATCGCTCGGAGGTTTCTTCTCATCGAGCGAGCCACAATCTCCTCTTCAAATTGTTGGGGTCTCATTCTCAAACTGCAACTATGGCTTCCTACATCCTACCTATTGCTCTTGTGGCCTTGTTCATGTTCTCGACTGCCTTGCAGACTACTTCCATTAAGGACTTGGATTTCTACCATCTCGTGCTCATGGTACTCACTACTCTCCCTTTTTTTATCTCTCTCTATTGAATTCACATCATCTCCGCCCCATAACGCCCCACAGCATACCCTCGCCGTGTATTAAGAACATCATCATCATCGTCGGTTCTGATATTATCATCAGGAAATGTTTCTAATACACGGCGGGGATGTGCTGTGGGGTAGGACATTGTGGGGCGGAGATGCGAGCTATTCTCTATCTTTCTCAATATCAGAGAAGAAATCACATATCTGCCAATGATGATATCATCGATTCTGGTATTATCATCGGAAAATATTCCCAATATACAGCGGGGATGTGCTGTGGGGCGGCCCCTTGTGGGGCAAAGATGTGAACTCGTCAGAGAATTAAACCTTGTTGCTTGATTTCTAACTTGAGTATTACCGTAAAAAATTTGCAGTGGCCAGGTTCATACTGCAAGCAAACCAGTGCAGGCTGTTGCATTCCGAAGACTGGCGGTGAGCCCGAGCTGGACTTCTTTGTGAAAGGTCTCCTGCCTTACTCAAACGATGGGAAGGCTCTCACGCAATGCGGGATGAGCCCATTCTATCTTGACGAGGTGATATTGAGTTTACCAATTAAAACTTGATATGGTTGTTATAATCACACCCCTTCATTTCATTTTAGGGCTGCAAATAAGTCGGATCGTATCCAAATTAGATCCGGTAAGAGTCGGATTCAGATATTTCCTTGATCTTAATAAAATCAGATCCAATAAAAAAGTCGATCCATTTAGTTAATGGATCAAATTAAAACATAACTCAATTCAATTCATTGCAATTAAGATTCAAAATTTCGATACAATACACTCTGTATTGGCATATCATATTGAATCCAAAACCCCACGTAAGGGGTATTTCAGAATTTGGCCATTTTAGGGGGTAGGCATGCCCATAAAACCGACCCCTAAAACAATTTTGAAAAAAAAAAAAGACTTGGGGAGAATGACGGTTCAGCAGTACAATTGGGGTGGGTGCCAGATCGAAATTGATACGAATTCACGGGTGAACATTGGAGGGTTTTTGACATTTTGAATATTTATAACTTTGTAGTTAAAATCAGAAACCTGCATTGTGCCTGCCCGTACTTCAAAAAACTAAAAACACTCAAGAACCCACATGGCCACAACACAATCGGATCCATTAGTTATGAAATATTATATAATATATATTATTTATATAATTATATAGTATATTCTTATATATTATTATATTATATCATCAAGCTTTTTTTTTTTTATTACAATCCAAATCAAATCAAATGTTCGATTCTTATCAGATTCAGATCGGTTGGATTTCTTATCGAATGGAATCAATATACCCTTTACTGAATTCAATCCGATCCGTTTGCAGCCCTACTTCATCCTCATCTGATCCACTGGATTAATTATGCTTTATTTCATGCAGATTTCAGACCTGAATAATGACTTGAATAGCTACTGGCCTAATATCAAATGCCCAAGCAGCGAGAGTCGTCACCTGTGGAAGAATACATGGAAAACATATGGCGTCTGCTCTGGCCTCAGTGAGCACGACTACTTCAAGAAGGCGTTGGACCTTCGATCAAAGATCGACCTGCTCTCAATCTTCAAGAAACATGGTGAGCTTCTGTTCTCTTCCAATGGGTAGTTTGTACTTTGTACAGATTTCTGCAACATCATAACCATACTGCTTAGTGCTTACACAGTGTGGGAATGTATGTCCAGGGATCATTTCTACAGACTATGCAGATTACAGTCTGGCCGAAATCAAGCAAGTGATAAACAGAGAATTTGGAGCCACGACTGCCATCAGTTGTAGTAAGAACCAGTGGGATGAAACTCAGGTTTATGAGATCTATTTGTGCGTTGACAGAGAGGCCAGAAACATCATCCCTTGCCCTGTTCTACCCAACTTTACTTGTGCTTCTCGGGTTGTCTTTGGTTCCTTCACCTACGACATGCTCAAGAATGTTTCTTCTCTGGCTGATAATCCCATTAGAATGCGCATCCGCTGAGGAAATGGAGCTCAAAAGCAATCAGTAATCAGTTGTGGTTTCTAGCAATCTCTGTTTTCATAATAGGTGTGGTGTAGAGAATTCAAGTCAGGAATCTGGTCATGTGTCAAGGGTTGGATAGACCTGTGCTGTCTCCTTCTTGCAAATGAGTGTAATAGCTGGGATAGATTATTAAATCCTTGTAAAAGTTTTTGATCTTTGTATTTCTACCAGCAGAAATAAAGAAGAAAGTTATGTTTCTCTATTGGGTGAAAGAATTAATGTCTGTAATCAACAACAGCACAAGATATATATGAGCTTGATAAATAGGAATGCAGCCAAGAACAGAGATTGAAGACTCAACCCCAATACGAAAAAGATACTAGGAATTGGGTTTCAAGCCAAGGACAAAGGCAAGAGGCAGAGTGTCTGTTCTAAGAATCATAGAAAGAACAGGCTTGGGTAAAAGAATTAAGAAGAAAGCTATGTTCTTTATTGGGTGAAAGAATTAATGTCCCATAATCAAGAATAAGCACATTTACATATAAGATGACTATGAATATGATAGATAGACCTGCAGCCAAGAACAGAGATTGAAGACTCAACCCCTATAGGAAAGATACTCGGAATTGGGCTTCAAGCCAAGGACAAAGGCAAGAGGCAGAGTGTTTGTTCTAAGAATCATAGAAAGAACAGACATAGGTGAATGGATTAAGAAGAAAGCTATGTTCTCTATTGGGTGAAGAATTAATGTCGTACAATCAAGAATAAGCACACTTAGACACAAGATGAATATGAATATGACAGATGGGCCTGCCGCCAAGAACGAAGATTGAAGACTCAACCCCAATAGGAAAGATACTGGGAATTGGGTTTCAAGCCAAGGACAAAGGCAAGAGGCAGAGTGTCTGTTCTAACAATCATAGAAAGAACAGACTTGGGTGAAAGAATTAAGAAGAAAGCTATGTTCTCTATTGGGTGAAAGAATTAATGTCCTATAATCAAGAATAAGCACATTTAGACATAAGATGAATATGAATATGATAGATGGGCCTGCAGCCAAGAACAAGACTCAGCCCCATTAGTAAAGGTACTAGGAATTGAAGACTCAGAGTGTCTGTTCTAAGAATCATAGAAAGAACAGACTTCAGTCTGAAGACTGTGAAGCAACTGAAGGTAAAACTTACTTAGGTTCCCTATAAGTGAATTCTCTATCTGATTAATCAAAATGGACCCTGAATGACTTCCAGTGAGAACCCAGTTTGGGTGCTGACACCATTTTCACTGACCTAAATCATGAAGGTTACTTTCTCATGCGTGATGATAATGTGCAATCATAATCAAAGCCAACCAACATGGGCCTTTTCCACCAAAAAGTCCATTTGGCCCACGTCTCTCCGTATCATTTGGCCCACCTACAGCTTTTAGAATTTATTTTTAGGGTGAATTACAGTGACCATTCTGTACCCAACACTTGTCCCCTTGTACTAATCTTCTCAATTATTAGTCCTTTGTGTTTTCATATAATGGTAGAAACCCTGATGATGTTTTATAGTGAATGAGAAATGACTTAGGGTCCGTTTGGTTCACAGTCAGAATCGGAATCCTTCGGAATTGAAATTGGGGGGGGGGAATGGGATTCCGATTCCACCCAACCAAACAACCCTTAATTGTCTACACATCACTTCTGTGTTCTTCAAGCAAAAGTCCAGATTGGTTAATGTTTGGGATCATAAATTCCGTCTTTTGAAAACTCTGTGCTATACCACTTTGATGGCACATCTCTCTCTCTCTCTGTATATATATATATCGGTGATTTTTCCAAAATTATTTGAAGCACAAAAAGAGTCTCCTAGTTCATGTAAAGATTCTTGTCCCAAAACACATGCACACGTGCAAAATAAGCCTATTTGAAAAGGTAAGTTTTATACTAAAGAAATTATGACTTTTAACAACCAATATTACTCGTGAAAACCACCAATACAAGGTGGGGGTGTATATGATTGATATGGACTGTCTGATTGAACACGTGGACAATACAGTGGGTCCTCTATCTGTTGGATGGTGGGGATCAGCCACAAGATCCCACCATGCATAATTGCATATGTATGGAAGAAATAGTTGGTTCAGGTAGGAAAGCACCCTACTTTAACTTACTAACGGATCAATTTCTCAATTGATTTACAACTTTTAAGGCATCTAGGCCTGTGCAAAAGCTGGGGAATCAAAAATTAAGTAACTTTTTATTTAGATAATACTATTTGAAATATTCCCATTAATTTATTAAGCCACCACTTCTCATTATGAACCTACTTATTTTAAGATATATACTATTACTTCATCTCTAATCGAGTACTCCATGCTCCTCCATTGCAGGTCTGAGCACAGAATAGGAGACACAGACATCATGAAGATGCCACTGTAACTGTAATCTTCATAGGGAGCAACCAACACTCACCAAAGCATCAACTGTGTGTGAGATTACAGGTTACAAATGAAAACTTGTGGTTAATTAATAACATATTCCTTTACTGTATATGTAGTCACAGTTAACTGTATATTCCCATTATCTATCATTTTTTCTTGCCATGTACAGATGATTTGCCTTGATGAAAGCTCTCCTATTGAGCTTTATCTATGTGCCACTTAATTTCTATGTAGAGGAAAAGACAAATCATAGTACTACTACATTTCTTCCTTCTACTGCTGTAACATTTTATGTTTTATATGTGATATTATCTCTTGTCAGCTTCTGATCTCCAAATGCGTAATTCCATATGATCTATACTTACAGAAAGTCAGATTATTTCAACTGAGCAGACATGTCAGTTTCTGGGTTGAGTTTGCTGGATATTCAATTCCTTATACACTGAATTAAGGATTCTGCAATCCAAGGGATTTAAGCCAGGGGTGGTTCATGTAAATGATCCCAACAACCTCTTCCATGGATGCCAAGTTAATCATGGAATCAACAAGTAGTTTGTCCCCATCCCATCAGTCATTCTGTTTGAAACAGTTACAGTTCCTGGGTAAGTTGGCAAGTGTTTACTTCTGTAAACTATTCAATCTGGCTAAATTAACAGTGTTTATTCTCAAACTATTCGACCTGGGTAAATTCAAGATTGGTTTATTTTAGTTGTTGGTGGGTCTGGAATCACCATTATTATGATCACCATCAGGCTGATAAAGGAATAACACAAATGTCTATTCCAATTCCCAAGTACTAAAATAACAGTGGATTCAATGATGATGATGGTGGAAATGGGATAAGGTTATACAGCAAACAAACAACTAAAAGGTTGTATTTGTATATATAGGTGGCAAAGAAGACCAACAATTGCAAAGAAGATTGATGGATTGAAGGAATCAGATTCCTATAGAGAAATTGCAAAGAAGATGTATTGAACAGAAAATGCTAATATATTTTCTTTTGGGGTAATGATTTTTTGCTTATGATATCAATGTTCTTGTACTCATAATACCTTTGTTATTATCTTAGTGGGGACTACTGTTAATAGAGAAATGATTGTTTGGCTACAATTTCTCCCCTACTCTGGGAGGACCCACCATTAGTTCTCTGTTTCAATTTCTTAAATTAGTACAATGGGTACCCGATCATGGCCTGAGTGCTGGCTATTGATAACAAAAGCCCATGGCTCCTCTGGCTTGCTCAGAGGTGTGGATTTCAAGACCCAGATGTCTGTTTGATTGGCTCTGCAAATTTTTAGGACCAATACAACCAAAGTTAGACTCACATGATAACAGTGCACAGATCCCTTTTTGGGTGATGGAAATATGATGATAGAAGGGGGGGGGGGGGTTGCTTTGGGCTTTGGCCACCTTTACTCGAGAAGATTGAGAATGTGTATATAAATTATAAACCCATCCCTATTTTTGACAAAGAAAAGTTGAGTCCTTTTTCTGCAGATTCTGTCGATGACACCCTCACAACAAAGTACTGAGAGATAATTAATCCTTCCACCAACTATCTGGGCATCTGGGTATCTATTGAGTATTGATAAGGGAGAGTAGAATAGTAGAAAAATACCCTATCTTATTATTTTTTCTCTTCTCTTCTTTTGATAATTAAGCTAGCTTCGTATGTCGACAGCTCAAAGAATTTCTCCGATGAGAAACAAGAGCTGAGCAGAAATGAAAAGATAAGGATCTAAAAATGTCAGACATGATCAAGTGGCTGGGGGGAATAAAAAACAGAAGAGGCTTCTAGAATTGGGAAAATATGCAACAGTGACTCGGTGATCTAAGCTTTTGGGTATTTTATTTATTCCAGTCACAATATGTGAAAAGATTAGTGTCCATATTCTCTTCAAGATTTGTAAGGAATGATTCCTTGTGAATTCTACACTGGGGAAAGGTGATTGAAATACAGAGGGATCCATTCCAATGCTTGAGACAAGTTTCGGACGGGTGGCATGTCAAAATGATCGGTGGACTACATTGAAATTGATGAAAAGTTTTTCAGAGTCCTAAGAGTTGGACCCACCCAGATGGTTGAACCGGTGACCCAGTGACTCAATAATGACCCTTTTCAGGTCTAGTTAACTGGTTTTTCACTGTTTTAATGGACTTATGACCTAGCTAAACGATAAACTATGACCTAGTTAGTGAACATTCCGAGTTTTGCTGGAGTAACAATTTTTGTCTAAAAACATCATGAAAAAATTGAATATGGTGCAAATTTTCAAGTTCTATTCTTTATTTCTATTTATTCCCATAGACACCATCAGGCACCACGTAGGAAAAGAACACTTGTTCCAACAAAAAAAATGATTAAGAACGCCAACCATTTATCACCTGAACCCAGCCAAGAGCCAATCAGATAAGAAATTGTTTAAAGTCTTAATTAAACACTTACACGATTTTTCTTGAAAAATACAATGTTTTAAAAATCAACCTGAAGGCCAAACCCTTCGGGTGACGAGTCATCGGTTCAACTGTCCAGATTGAACAGTTGAATTACCTGGGTTGAACAATTTTTTATCATATCAACGGTTTTTTACCAAATGAGATGTTTCACACAAATCAGACCCAATAATGGCTCAAACGGTTCAACCAAAACACTCAGCAATAGATTGAAGACAGAAAAACAAAACAACTCCATGTCTTAGTCTTATTGCATTTGTTTCCTATTCATTAACCAAAAGTCCAAGAATCCAGATATACATCAAAGCTAGGATTGTAGTAATTCTCCCTCGGTGGGCTTTGTCTAAACATAACCATCCACCCCATCACTGTCTAAAGAGAGAAAATGGGGAAAGCCAGTCAAAAAATAAAGTCAACCACAACTTAGCAAACATACAGTCGTACACACTATCCTTTTCTTTCTCTTTAGCCTCTTAGCATGGTTTATTGCTTTTAGAGAATGAGGCAGTAAGCAGGTGGCAAGAAGGTGAACGCCAATATGCAACCCTACAAACTACTAGCTTTCAAATCAAATCAAAAGTGGCCTAGTGGGTATCTACTAAGAAGAAAGAGAACACTTGGTTGGCAAAAGCAAAAACCCTCTATTAAGAAAGAGAAATTTATCACCCATCACACAAATTTAAAGGCAGTATTAATTAAAAGACAGCTTTTCAAAAGAAAAAGCTTACCCCAAAAGCCAAAGCCTGGCCTTTATCACTTAATCTCCACCTCATAATAAAGTAGAGAGAGAGAGATGGAGAGAGAATGTGTTAAAAGAAGCAATTGTACCAAATAGATTTTAGCTCCCTACAATTTATAGAGACAGCTCCTGGCTTAAAATCAAACCCACAAACAGTTCATAAAAAGCAAGAGAACTGAGAACCAACCCCTCCAGCAACCCAACTTGGACAGTTGTTCTTGTCTCCACCTCTTTATCAAAACCTCCTTTACTTAAAGACTTAAATAATGTGATTATGTGTCAGATAGAGAGGAGAGAGAGAGATCTTATGTCTACACTAGAAAGTACAAAAATCTACAACATTACAAGACTAAGAAGTAAGAACTCTCTGAAGCTAAAAAAGCAACAAGAATAAACCAGAACCCCTCAACCAAAAACTATCTTACTTCTCCTTTCCCAATACTAACCCTACCATTACTTTCCTTATGACTTATGTACATGGTTACAGAATTAACTCTCTCATTCAGTCGTTCTCCCCCAAAGCTAGCTGATACGAGTGGTATAAGCTACGTGTAGACAGAACCCAACATGCCCAAGTCGGTTTTCGACGAACCCATCACATGATCATGCACCCATTAGGATTCTCATCGCTGAACATCTCGAATGAATCGGACGGTGGTGCTGGTGCTGGTGCATCGTAAGAGCCTGGGTGAGTGTACGTGAACGTGTACTGAGGTGGTGCTGGGGGCACGTAGTAGGATGCACCGTAGCTAGACGAGGGGTATGCTGTATTGTAACTTACGGCATACACTGGAGGGGGGCAATACGCACCGTACGGGTATACATGCTGACGTGGAGGGCTGAGATTAATTGGCACGGTGGTGGGACCAGTGTGACTAGGGCTTGCAGCATTCGGACCAGGAGTAGTAGTGGGGGAGGTAGAAGGAGATCCTCCTGCGTTGGCTGCTGCTGTGTCGCCGGTGGCTTCATCTCCGCCCTGGTTTCCATTCCCTTTCTGCCCCTTCTTTTTCTTCTTACCTCCATTACCACCGGCCCCACCGCCACTTCTATCGGCGGGCCCGTCACCATCACTGCCCTTTTGGTCAGGCGGTGGAGACTGGCTCCCAGCCTGCGAGTTTTCCGGTTTCTTTTCGTCGGGCTTCGGGTCTTTGTTTTGTCCGGCGGTGCCATTTTTAGCGGGTTTCCCGCTTCCACCTTCGCTGGCTTTGGCGGTGGTTCCACCACTTTCACTGTTTTTAGCGGATGTGGGTTTTGCTTCGTTGCTCTCTGCTGCTGCTTTCTTTGGGCTACTGTCAGCATTGTTGTTTTCATGGCTTTTCGAGTCGTTTGGTTTCTCGTTGTTCTTCGCTTTTCCAGATTTTTTCTCTTTCTTCTCAGCTTTTTCAGGCCAAAGCTCCGCGTGCTTCCCTGTTTTCTGCAGTTTCTTGATCAGGGTCTCTGCGTCGACGTTTCCAGTCACTACAACTTTGTGTTGCTGGGAATCGACAGTTGTGGTATAAACACCTGGAGAGACAGACACAAGGAAAAACAAACCCAGAAAAGGTAAACCCACCGGAGACAAGGTAAAATGATCAGAGAGAGAGAGAGCAAATTAAAAGCCGGAAACAGATGCTTAGCAAGAAAACCCAGATGCAGAAAACAGATAAACTACGAGATTTGAACCCAGAAAGAGATGAAAACGAAGAAACCAAAAGAGAGAGAAAAAAAAAAACTATTGTTTTGCTCGTACCTTCGATACTCTGTAGAACCTTCTTGACCTTTCTCTTGCAGCCTTGACAGTGGATGGACACTTTCAAGAGATGCGTCTGGGAAACAGAAAAGAAAAGAAATCTTAGAAACACTACACAAGTTTAGACTCAGATTGGAAAAGAACGAAGACATGGGTATCGATATAAATAGTAATTTACCTCGTATTTCAGCGGTTGTGTAGCTTCTTCAGCTCCCGTTGTTGCCATGAGAGAGAGAGAGAGATGAATATGAGCTTAGGAGGTTGGTGGAGAAAGAGGAGAAAGCGTTTGCGTTAAGACTGTTTAAAGAAGAGAGGAACACTGAAAGAGGGACGAACGAAGGTCACTTAACATTTTAGAGAAAGTTGGATAGAGTATAAAAGTTGGTGCCTGCGAGGTGGTGAAGAGATTGGAGAAAGGGAGTCCGGATTTTCTGTAGAGAAATGCAGTGAGTTAATTCTGCACCACCTATCAGAATTTGACACCTGTCCCCTAAATGCTCATCAACCCAAATCCCCAAGCAGCTGTCCAACGCTAATAGGTGAAGGAGCCATGTTGTAATTTTGTGAAAAAAACCGGCAAGCGAAAAGACAGAGAAACCCCGTCCTCTTCTTTTTGACAAGAAAAACAAACAGCGATCTCTGCGGATATAAAACTGGTAATTAATCGAGTAATTAAGATTTAATAATACTTGTAACACAAAATTAAATATATAGATTAAGTTCTTAATCCCGTTTACTTGACTTACTATTCAAATATGCTTTTCTTATTTTGAGTGGAGAGAGAGAGAGAGAGAAATAATAAAATAATGTGCCTGTAGAAGATAATTAATAATATAGTAATATACCTTCCTTTTTTGTTTTTTAGTAGAAATCAGAATTTTCTGAACCAATAAGATTGATGGTGGTTGGAATTTGGAAATAATAGTGTTTACTTAAAACTTTCTATTTATTCCCATTCAAGCTGAAGTAGTGCCTCTAATCACTTCGCCATTAACACATAATTAGTGACCTCGATCTGCTTAGGAATTAAACACCCAGTTATCAGATTATAAGGTGGGTGAAACCAAATGATCCTTAATTCTTGTTATCAGTTGAGGGAGTGAATGAATGAACGAATTGGGTGGTTGAATCAAATGGTAAACGAGAGAGATAAAAGAGATAAAGGGTGTCTGTGTCTGGTGATTTAAGTTCTCTCTCTCTCTCTGGTATCTGGATGAGTTTCAGTGGTTCAGGGTTTTGAAGCAAGTAATGATTAAGGAGAGAGGAATTAAATAAAGAAGAAAGAAAAGTGAAGGTTGTGAGGGAAGACAAAGACTCCATGGTACTAATTCCATTTCCCCTCGAAATAAAAGGTTCCTGAGTTCCTCTTTTACCGAGACATTTGATTGAAGTTGCTTTCATTGTCAATTGCAAATAAGTGATGATGATGAATAAATTGTTGCCATGGCTCTCCTTACATACAAGTCATTACGTATTAATGCATCAATGAAGAGACAGACAGAGCTAGAGACAGAGAGAGGAGGAGGAGGAGAAGATATCTGAGATATGAGTGCAATAAAGGAGAGAGAAGACTGAAGAGATGGAACTGGTATCAAAGTACAGTCCATTGTTCAAGAATTAAGAGACTTTTCGGTGGTAGATGTCATGTTATTAAGCGAGCCACGCATAAACCCTGCATGAAAATGAAGAGACCGCGGGTCTACACTCTACAGTTTCTCTCCCCAGAGCTCCAGAGGTGTTCGACGTTTTGGCTCTTTTTTAAAAGTTTCAATTTTGAACTCACCCTCCATGTACGTATCAACTAATAAAGCTCTCTCTCTCATTCAGTCACTCTACTTAATGTTTCACATACTAAACTCAAGCAAATAATAATTATACAATGGTAAATAACACTTGCCTCGTCTGATATTTCAGACAAAATCAGATCTCCGTTCTGGGCTGAGGGAGAGAGATGGAGAGTATCAGAGAGAAAGAGAGAGAATCTACTTTACAGAACGACACGTGAGGTTGTACCCAAAATGTTTTGACTGCTTATGTGACATGATTTTGCTGTATTACACCAAAGATTAGTGCCCTGAAACACTCACCCAACAGCGGATCACAGCCTCATGAAACGAAGAGATCCTCTTTGTTTATTAGGCCTCGTTTGTTTCATGGGCTAAGTTAAGTTGATCATTCTGATAACTGATCAATTTCCCCTCCTTTATGGGTCTCATGGTAAGCCCTACGCATCAATTGATAATTGCATGGTTTTCAAAACCGGACTGGACCGGACGGTCAGACCGGAAAGACAGGGAACCAGTCAGGTGACGGGTTCCATTTTTCCCAAAAACTGGATATTTGCAAAAAAATGTTGATTTGGTTAGTAAATTATTGATTTGGGCGGTTGAACCGTTTGAACCATTCAACGGTTTTGACAATTTTTTTAATTTTTTAATTTTTTTGTTAAAGCGGGTCGATCGTTCGATTTAAATGGTTTGATCATTTGACTTGAGAACCAGACTCCTGATCGGTTCGTTCTCTGGGCCGGTTTTAAAAACCTTGGATAATTGATCAATTTTCCTGTTTATACACCTCTATAATGGGTTTAATAGTAAGCAATTTTTTTCGAGAGTATTGATGATTACCTATGTAACTGATATCCTTTTGAAAGGGTAGGTAAGTTATTTATTTATCCGCCGAAAACTCTGTTCCCCTCACACCTCTCTTTTTATCATGATAAATGGATTTGTATAATAATGCTAGCATCAGATGTGTTTGATTGCAATGCAAATGCAAATATGTATATTGTATATTTATCCTTTTTTCAGTTCACGAATATAAACATGATTCACATTTTAATCCATTTTTGCACCCATCTTGTTTGTTTAAAATCGGTGCAAAGTATTTGCCCATCATTAAATACTCCAGCTATCTTATATTCTGATGTCTTAACTTTGGTCAAAAAATTAATTATCAAATGAATACAAAATTGTATCTAAAAAATAGGTACAGTAATACTCTCCTCTCAGAATACAAAAGTATCAGAAAATATATATCGCAAATACTCTCAAGCACGAACTAAGTACATAAATAAATACTCTGATTCAACGTTTGTATCGCAAACAAACGGAGCCCAAGTAAAAAAACACTTACCCATGTAAATTCACTTAGGCCCGTTTGACATTCCATTTGCCCATTGGAGCATTTTAACTGCAAAAAGGAAGATAAGTCATTAAAATAAGGAATGCAAATGCAGCATTAACTAGGTAAACGAAAATGAAGGGAGTTCTGATTTATCTTCTGAATTATAAGCTCAAAGAATTGGATGAACATGTTGATGCAGTGTGGAAGAAGATGAGGCGTGATCAAAAGGGATCCAAACAACTCTCTCTCTCTCTCTTCCTCTCTATCTCTCATAGATTCACGCACGCAAACAAACAAAACTAAAATTGGACCATGAATCTACCAAATGACATTGCACGGTAACCAAAAGCCCACCAACCACTCGATGGAAATCGGAAAAGAAAGCTTTTGATGTTCATTAATCATTTTATTGAAAGAAGTTTGATTCCCCCAGCAGCAGCTTTCAGCTTTCAGCTTTCAGAGTGTATAATTGACATGGACAGGCGAAAGAACTAACGTGGCTTGCTCATGACTCATGAGAGAGCTCAGAGAGAGATGGCGGTACAAATTGCCTTGGACAATCTCAACCGGTCCCATCGTCCCTCCCAGCAGGAAGGTGAAATCATCTTCAAAAGACAAAAATACCTGTGTTCAAAATTATAGCTAGTCTGCACTTTCCGTCGCTTTTGGTAACGGAGAATATACAGACGACAGGGTTGTGAATTGTGATGATGAAAATGAAATTATCTGCAACTAATGACGGAAGTAAAGTTTGATTTTAGCAACAACAACAACACTGATCGCTTTCTCACTCCTCAGCTCTCCCCAAATATCTGATTTGAATGAATGTATTGGTACCGTCCGAAGTCCAGATGCATTCATCAAAAGCTAAAGATTCACATTGTTCAATGATGTGGGTATGCAACCAATGGAAGCAAAAAGAAACAATGGAAGGATCAGAAGTAGTATAGAGAGCGATAAAATGCTCAGCGAAAAGTTTTTTCTGTGGATCCGATCGCACAGAGAATCAATCGGTTTTGGATATAAATTGAACCAAAGAATCTAAATGATGAAAAAGTGCGCATTTCGCAAAAGCTAAGGCTTAGGCTCCTGGAGTCATTAAATTGCCACTTGCTACCCATTCAAAAGAATGGAAACTCTTACTCCCCCGTTTATTTTCCTAGTGGGGGTAAATTGGTCAACCGGGTGATTGACCAACAACTCATTTATTCAGGTAAGTGAAAACAAATAAGGCCTTGATCTAAAGGCCCCATTCACTTTTCCGTAAGTTATATATCCGAATAAACGCAGTTATCTGGATAAGTTTTTCTTGGGAAATACTTACTTACCCGGATAATCCCAGATGGAAAAGTTATTTACCCACCTAAGAGATGGTCCATGAATAACTTCCAAACCCATGAATAGCTTCCAAATCAAACCCAACTTCAAAAAATTGCCATAATTGTATGGCTAATTACTTAACAAAAAATCAGAATTGTGTAAACAAATTTTCTAATTCAAGACTGAGCAAATGGATGATGCAGAGAAACATGTTTGGTGGTACGAGAGTACCATGAAAGCGCGGGCAGAGAAACTGGAAAGCTTGTATACACGAAGCCAAACAATTACAGTCACGTAATGTAACAACATTCACAGCTTACAGTGTGCTTTCACGCTAGTGGTACTACGGAGCTTGTTTGTTTCAGCTTTGTAGAATGTGAGTAATGCAATTTTATTACAGTCTTGGGGCACATTGGTATTGGTTGCAGAGACGTGGGACAACTTCTTAATTATTAGTCAAACAGTACATCTATTCAAACTCTGTTTATGACTACAAAATAAAAGAGTGGTATAACATGATAGCAATGGGAGTAGGAAGGAACGACTTCTCTCACTTTTGTCTTTTTCTCTACTTTTTTCTCAAGCCAATAGCATTCCCAATGACTTCTGGATCATATCTTTGAACGTGAACCATAGGCGTTGTAGAATCCCCTCTTTACAATACAAGCACTTAAGATTGGGGTATTTATTTGAAGCAAAGTTCTTTAGGCTCCATTTATTTGTAATACAAACGCTGAATCGGGGTATTTATGTATTGTGGTTCGCGTTTGCAAGCATTTATTTAACATATAAAATAGTAAGAATTATCAGATCAAAAATGTATTTTCTTACATTTTTGTACTCTGGAAAGAGAGCAGTGTATTTTTTTGATAATCAACTTTTTAACCAAAGTTAAGGCATTAGAGCATAAGGTAGTTAGAGCATTTAATGATGCAGCCCACACTTAGCACCGATTTCAAACAAACAATATGAACGTAAAAACGGTTTAAAATTTGAACCATGTTTGCATTTATGGACCAAAAAAAATGATAAATATGCAGTATACATATCTGTGTTTGCATTGCGAAGTTGCAACCAAATGCAGCCTTAAGGAATTTCAAAATTTTTGTTAAGAACTTTGGCTCTATTTTCTGTTTCTCTTGTATTTTCTATCAAATTAAACATGTAAATGGAAAAAAAAAAACCAAAAAGGAATAAAAAAGAATATCACGACGGTTAGTGAATTAACAAATGTAACCTTTGAATGTGTGGCATCTACAAGTTTGGATCTACTGGCCACATTCACTCAGCCGCACATTGAGAACATCTCTTGTACTTTATATCACTAATACTCCCAATGTACGGTTGGGTAAATGTGGCTAGCAATGCCTTGTGGTCAGCAAATCTGGACTCGGCATCTACATGGAACACTTACAGACATTAACCATTTGGGCATGTGCAGACTGTACAAACCATGGTGCATTCACTAACACTGGCTTACATGTTAAATTCAAATATTAAACAAATACATTAAGGTTTGCTTAATTTTCATGGATTCACATTTTACAAGATGTACTTTTTTATAGTTTTTGAAGGGCTATACAACAGTGGGCAGCCCATCCCCCAACCCGTAAACCCCCCTTATCCAGGTGCAGACGGGATTCAATCCCAAGTATCCGCTGCGACCAATAGGAAACCTTACCAACCAACTGGTTGGATGTACTTGCCATCACATTTAACCAGTCATGTCTTTTGCTACATAGTTAGTGAGATGCACTATAGATTTTGCTATATTAATATGGTTTCCAAAGATTTAGGTTTCTACTTTATTTATAGCGTTGTACTAAAGCTTAGTAGACATGCTAAACATTTCTCTCTTTCCCATTGAGTCAAATTTAAGAGAGAAGCATCCAGACATCCCCTTAGTTGTATAGTTTCCTTTTTCTCCCTTATCTAATTATTCTTCAATTTTATAATATAGGATATCAGCCTATTTGGATATTCTATTCTATTCTACTTGTTCCACACTTCTACTGTTATATTACCCATTCTGTTCACATGTTACAATGGACCCATCATATCCAAAACCATAGAGTATGGACAAACAACTCCAAGCAATTTCCCTACAAGAACTATAAAAGGGGGGAGGTATAAAATTGTAAGATCCAAAGCCCAGAAAGGGACAATTCAGGCCCAAAACAGATGCCCAAAGATCAAAATATTGATATGCCAAATATCCAAATATGGGTATCGGTGTTTATCGATATGGCCAATATCTTTTTTGTTTTTTGTTTTTTATTTTATAATAATTAGAGAATTGGGGAAGAGGTCTAAGAACTTTTAAAAATTAAAAAAAAAAAAAAAATTGTATCAGTATATCCAAACATATCCGGATAAAATGCTACTCAACAGCAATTTATTGAAGGTTGAAGGAATCTTTCCCACCTTATAACAGTCTAGAGCAAGTAATTACAGTATTTTTTACTCTATCTTTCCTTTCTATTACCTACCTAACATACCGCATGGCCTATTTAGATTATAGCTCTGAAACTTTCATGTCCCAAAGCAAAAAAGAAAAGAAGAAAAAAATCCTTTCTGTTTGTGCATTTTGCTGGTGCAGCGACTGGTGAATTATTGTCTCATCATCCACAATAAACCTACTCGTATTCAATGCAAGGGCCTCGAGGAGTTGGAAGATAGAAACAAAGGTTAGATCATCAGTGGTTTGATCAATGTGGCCAAAAGATATGGGCTCATGGAGATAAACTGTCACTGTAAATTTTGAGCCTTATTAGACATTTACACATCGACCAAAAGCCCATAACCACAATAAGTCTGACTCTGTAAATACAAAATTCGATGGTTACAAACAAGGTTCTACATATCGAGGGCTATCGGCCTGTATTGATGCTTTTTTTTTATGTTTTATTTTTTATTTTTTCAAAACTGGTTCAGAGGAATTGATTCAAGTCCTGGCTATCCTCTGAACCATGGCCTGACCTAATACATTACATGACGAAATTTTAATCTTTGGTTACAAATTGGGGGAAGTGAAACATGGGCAGAGGGATGAGTGAATTCTCCTGAAGATAGGAGGAATATTCGAAGGCTGATATTTCGTGCCAACTATTCTGATTCGTGACACGATCACTGCTTTAACCATGTCAGAGTCAGACCACGGCTGAGCTCTCATTTTCTCCAAGGCAACAAAGTTACAAAATACGACGCAGTTTGTCTGGAACAACTGGAAAACTCAACTGTCCCGTTGGTAATCAGGTTATTTCCTTTTCTTTATGAAATATTGAATTGAATGCCCAGACAGATGTGTTAATGAATCTTATTCAAGAATCAACATCCATCCAAGGCATTCCTGAGTAAGGTGAACAAATTACAAAACTAAAACCTGCTTGCCCCCTGTTCAATTATTATGGATTTGGACCCCATCCTAGAATTAAAACAAACTCATCTAGATGTTTAAAATTATAACTATGAAACTCAAGAGGAGATGTAAGATAAAACTAGCCAGATAATACTTTTTCTCAAACAGTTGGTGCAGAGAGAATTGTCTTACAAGAGATGGCCATGGCCAAGTCTTAATTTAGGAATCATTTTCATCATCGCATTTTCTCAAACATGATGAGAAAAATAAGCACATAGCATCTTCCCCATCTCACCCCGAAGGAAGGGAATGAGACAAAAGGTTCTTATCAGAGATAAGATTGGAATTGCACAAGATAAAATACAATTTATTGTTGAATGTCCTCCGTATTCTCTTGTGCTGGAGCTGAATTTTCCTCTGCATTATTTACTTCTGCTTCAGGATTTTTTGTTTCGTCCACATCTTCTGACAAATCCTGCAGCTACAAGGACTAGAATGATCAGCTGAGTAGGTCAATTCTATGCTACAGCAAAATGGAAGGTTCTATTATTTACAAGTGTGAATAAGTTGCCCAAAGAAAACTGAAAACATGACATAATATGGACCACACTGAAAAGATAATAGCCACCCAAGTTAAATCACTACCCCCAAGTTCCTTAGATTAGCAGCCACATCCTCTTGTTGCTGTTGGAGAGTGGTTCTCAGTTCTTGAAATTCCTAATTTTGTTCAATCAATCAGTGTTAAACAAATGTCAAGGATAAGTGAAAATCGCACGATCAGCGATCAGCATTATGTCAATGGCAAGAATAAAGTTTAAAAAAAACTTTGAAAAGAAAAAAGAAAAAAAGTTGCCTGTGTGATAATGGAAAACAAGGAGAGAATGGCAAGCATCAGTTGGACTTACAAATCTAAGTTGCTCCACTTCCACATTAAGAGATTTCTTTAGTTCTGATAGTTCCTGCATTACAAGTTGCAAGTAAACAATTCAAGTGCAACTGTAAAAATCTTACAATTAATGAACAAACTGTTAATCGCAATGGTTTCTAATCTATTATGCACAAAAGGTCAAGGCATTTATGATGTACCATATAACAATTAATCCAAAAATATCATTTTCCATCTGGCAGAGGGCTCAGTTGATGTAAAATTTTAGAAATGCATAATTTCCCCAGTTTTATGGTTACAACTTACAATCTTAATATTATTTTGCACGGATGCAACATTGAGCATTCTCATCCTTTTGTCTTCCCAAATAGAATTCAGCCTAGCTCAGACCCAGTGAATTTCCAACTATACTAGGACCTATTTAACTGGTCCAATTAAAAACCAGAGACAAACAACTCACTTTTCCAAATTGAGGGAAAACGGGACAAAACATTAAGCAGGTTCCATGACTGAGAATTTTGGCAAGAATTAACCTCATCAAGTGTAAATTGGAGATAAAAGTAGCTATTTCAACGTAGTATGCATTATGATTGAAAAACTTCAACTCCAAGGTGCTACATTTTTTAACAAGAAATTTTGTACCAGGAAGAGGGAGCTTTTACAGAGACAGGAATGAAATGGTAAAGGAAAAAGAGGCAATAGATTCACAGGACACACTTAACATAGCATCATTGCAACAACCATGTTTTTAATGCAAATAGGACTGAAACTTATTAGACCACACCAGCAAAGCAAGTAGCACCAAACAGCAACAAAGCCCTCTCAATTTAGCTGACAGTGTACTGAGCTTCTTATGAAACCTTGCTAGGCCATTCTCATCATAGTTCCAGTTGCCATTTTTTAGGCATTCGAAATTACACTGCAATTTACAGCAACTAGACACTGGTGCTAAACTTTTATATTCAAATCATGCACCGAGACATTGTTTTCCATCACTTCCCAATTAACAGAGAAGCAATATGATTTAAGATCAATCAATTAGCTTCAGCACCGACAGTGGTGTCATTCAGTCATTCACTCCCACAATCCCCGTAAGGGGTACCCAAAAATAGAGCCCACAAAGCATTTTTTTAATCAGGCCATTTTTAGTGCTGTAACTTGGGAAAGACTCAAGTTGAGCATCTGATAAATTTTCAAGGGGCCTGACCTGAGGACCAGGACCAAGGTTCAAAGTATCAATACATATCATAGTTATCACACGATATATTTTGGTTTTCTAGGCCACCAATACACTAAGGCCCCATTCATTTTCGAGTTGGGGGTGGAGGAAGTTGACCAACTTTCCCATGTTCCTTTTCAGGTAAATGTGTGACCCACAGTAATGGCACTTTCCCCGGGTAAGTTTTTTGGCCACTTACCCAGGAAACTCTTACCCTTCTCCCAGGTGGGTAAGCTACTTTTCCTCTTGAGAGGAAAGACGCTGAAATTTAATGAGACAAAAATGTGCATTAAATAGGCACTAAAAACAAAAAGGTAAAAGGATAAAAATGGAAACAGGGAAAACCTACCTGTGCAGAAAAGAACAACAGTAAATGAACTTACCTGGGAAACACTTACCCGGATAAGTGCATTTACCCAGGTAAGTGATGTACCTGAATAATAAGAGTTGGGTGATTTTAATTGTTTATTCGACATGTCCACTGTCAAATTGCCAAACCAAAAAAGTAGAAAAAAGACTATCAATAGAAATAAACTCTCGACCTTTGAACCTTGGACAGGACTGTTGCATTGTAAGATTTTCAAATTGGGTATCCAAGTTGTAACTAGTCATTTTTTCTAATTTTAACTTCCTTTCAAGTTTTTTTCTGTAAAAGCCATGACAAATGATATAGAAGCATCTGAAAGTCCACTAATGCAACCACATATTAGTTTTTCACTGGGTTGTCTAGTTCATTGATGGTTACTTTGAGTATTGAGCATTATTAAGTGTTTCTTTTTAATTGTTATGTCTTAAGTCTACTATGGTTTTTGACTCTTTATTTCTCTTAGAATTTGGTTGTTAATTAATAGATATAGATGGTAGCATACAAGGTATAAAGTTTTAAGTCTTAGTTTTTATGAGAATCTGCCCAATGTGTCTCTTTGCCCATTTACTAAAGTTTCCACATAAACTAATGAAGAAGCATGAAGCATTTTTTTAGTTCATTTCTTTATGAAGCTTATATCTTGCAATTGTATTTAGTGATTCCCATCCAATTAAGCATGTATCGTATTCATACAGAGCAGCATAGTAGTAAAGATGGCCAATTGGTGCCTAGATGTCTTCACCTGCCAAAGCTAGTCAACACCTATGCAACAAGTAAGCACTACTAAGGTGACACAAATAAATAAACATAAATATATTTTACAATGTACATATAACACACAAGTATTATGTAACGCTTTTTTTTATTTTGAGAAAAGAAGTATTATGTAACTGCTTGTTAATTACAAATTACTAAACTACAAAATGAATCATTAAAAGATTTGATTACAACTTATACCTAATTTTCAAAGAAATGATGATTTTTAAATGGTTCAACATCAAGTACACATGCATATACAAGGATTAGGTGCCCAAATTCTTGGCTGTACATTCAATCATGACAACCCAAAATTTCATGCATATACTCTAGAAAGGTGACAATCACTCGTTTGCCCTCACTTAGTGCCTAATTAGCCATCTAGACAATGAGTCAAATGCATAGGCTGTCACCTAGCTAATGCCTAGTTGATGCTTTGACCACACTGTTAGAGACAACAAATGGTTCCATCTCCCATGGCAGAGTGATTCTGGAGTGATCTAGGATTATCCCATCCAAATATTGCAGGTTGAGTTGCATCTCAGATAGGGAAGTCTCTAAATTGGATAGGATCTATTATAATTTTGGCATATAGACAGATAGGAGAATTCCTAAATCATCTCTGTTCAATCACCTAGTCCAATACAACCCTATACTCCGCCAAGCATTGGCGCTTCTCCAAGTTATCATAACCATCCAAATTAATTTAAAAGCATAGTTTTCAAGGCACCAAGGCGAGGCTAGGCAACTGGGGGGCACCTTGTCGCCTAGTCGCCTAGGCAATGGATTTTTTATGTTAAAAAACATAGATCCTAGGGTAGTTCCCTAGGTACCATAACCATATTTCTTTAATAATTATTCATGATTTTCATAAGAAAAGTATAAATTTCATATTAAAGTATAGAAAATCAACATATTCATGAGAA